TTGGAACGTCATCGCCGACGGCAATTGTATATTTCGTGGAGTAGCAAAGCACTTCCCGTAAAGTTTTCGTGCTGCTGCATAATTGCTGTTACATTTCCCGAGACACATCAACATATTAAAATATGCCTCGTTTGAGTAAGACATCGCACACAAGTCACTCACGGCGGAATATTAATTTCGCAATATAAAACACAACCGTCAATATCAGTGCTAACGCGCTATTGGTGCTTGATGCTTGTTTGTTTGCATAGACGTGGCAAAGCTATTGTACTCTATAACATAATTTTGATATTTTCTAAATCGATAAAAAATTCGTGATTTTTTTATGTTATTTTTTTAATAATAGTTATTATTTATTTATTTACTTTAGACAGCGTCCGTAAGTGTTATTAAGAAATTAAATTATAGCTAGGATTAGTAAAATACATTAAAATATTTTTATAACAAGAAACATTTAAAAAATTGTGCTATAAATCCACACAATAACAAATACTTAAACTATTATGCTGCTGTCTTTTTCAAAATCTAATAATTAGCATTTTTTTTATCGACACTGAATTGTGACAAAATTTTATGATTATAAAATTTCCCATGTTTTTAAATATTACTACCAAATATTATTAGCATAGAAGAAATAATAGATATGACGACCACAAAGATATAGTTCCATATAATTGATATAATCAGGCGTTACTTTGCGGAAATCCATTATAATAAAAAAATAAAAATATAAATTTCTTTGCAACCTTCCGCTAAATAAATACAATGATGTGTCTTACCTGGATTGAAGAGCATCTCCCACCCTCCCTCAATTACATGCACTAACTCCGTCACGACTAGTCCCAGCACCACTACTCCCAACACCACTAGTCCCAGCACCACTACTCCCAGCACCACTACTCCCAACACCACTACCAGTTACCTGGAATAGTGACAAAATTTTATGTTCATAAAACTTCCCATGTTTTTAAATATTACTACTAAATATTAGCACAGAATAAATAATAGATATTGGATCAAAATTAGTTAATCGGCATAAAGTGGATGCTACTTTTAATCACTCTAAGAGTGGAGTTTTTTTTGGGTTTTTCCTAGTATCTAAGTCCTTCGTCGGCTTTCGCTTTTTGAGTTCAAAGAGCGCGCAAAACGCCGCGTATATTACCTATTAATTTTGTTTTGTTTATTATATTCTAGCAATAAACGACAATATGAATTTATTTAAAAAAAATGATTACAACCTACTACATATTCTTTATCGAATAATATTTCATATGAAAAATACATACTAAATTTCTCCTACAAATAGTTGCAAATTTGGAATTAATCACGATATTTTATGCATGAAATAACCTTTTTAAATATTTTCGTAGATAACATAAGTATTCAAATAATATGTGTATTGGGGTTGAAATAATATCCATTTAATTTTATAATAATTTCTATTATTATAAAATTAAAATTTTCGGAGAATAACTGAGTCTAGAAAGATAGGTATAAAGATTTACACAAAAACCTTGGGGAAGCACGCGCTGCTTAGCGGCTTGCTTTGAGTCCGCCATATCAGTGACCTCATATCGGCCGTAAGTTCAGAAGCAAATAACATTTTTAGAAATTTAATATTTCTTAAGTTATCTTATTAGAAACCCAAAAAACCCCATTTAAAGCAACCAAAAAAAATTTTCATTATCGTAATTGTAATGCCTATGTGTACACCTATACGTCCCTGAAACGACCAACAGGGCTTTTGTTACATACTGTATAATGCAGTATCTTTCCATTCAAATTTCAATAATTTAATTCGCTTCTATATTAAAGTATCGCTATGATTTATATAATAAAATTGATGTAGCATGAAAGTAAGGTGTAGCATGAAACTAACTTGGATGGTCCTATAGGCTAAAGTTTCATCGGTGAAGAAACTTAATATTAAGAGATGATTTATAATATGCTCCCGACTCAAAAAATTATGGTAAAATTCGCATGGTTGTCTAAGACAAACAACTCAAAAAATTATGGTCCAATTTGCATGATTGTCTAAGACAAACAACTGAGGAAGGCAAGAAAATTCTATCGCTACGATACAAGAGGCAATCCTGGTATAATGTTTTTTTTAAACAAAGAAAATATTTCCAATTAACCTGAGTTGTTTTTAATATATATATATATATATATATATATATATATATATATATATATATATATATATATATATATTAAAAACAACTCAGATTAATTGGAAATATTTTCTTAGGAAGAGGAAGAGGCAATCCTGGTATAATGTTTTTTTTAAACAAAGAAAATATTTCCAATTAATCTGAGTTGTTTTTAATATATATATATATATATATATATATATATATTACGCTACGATACAAGGGCAATCCTGGTATAATGTTTTTTTTAAACAAAAGAAAATATTTCCAATTAATCTGAGTTGTTTTTAATATATATATATATATATATATATATATATTAAAAACAACTCAGATATTAATTGGAAATATTTTCTTTTCTTTGTTTAAAAAAAAACATTATACCAGGATTGCCTCTTGTATCGTAGCGATAGAATTTTCTTGCCTTCCTCAATTGTTTGTCTTAGATAATCATGCAAATTGGACCATAATTTTTTGAGTTGTTTATCTTAGACAACCATGCGAATTTTACCATAATTTTTTGAGTCGGGAGCATATTATAAATCATCTCTTAATATTAAGTTTCTTCACCGATGAAACTTTAGCCTATAGGACCATCCAAGTTAGTTTCATGCTACACCTTACTTTCATGCTACATCAATTTTATTATATAAATCATAGCGATGCTTTAATATAGAAGCGAATTAAATTATTGAAATTTGAATGGAAAGATACTGCATTATACAGTATGTAACAAAAGCCCTGTTGGTCGTTTCAGGGACGTATAGGTGTACACATAGGCATTACAATTACGATAATGAAAATTTTTTTTGGTTGCTTTAAATGGGGTTTTTTGGGTTTCTAATAAGATAACTTAAGAAATATTAAATTTCTAAAAATGTTATTTGCTTCTGAACTTACGGCCGATATGAGGTCACTGACAAGGCGGACTCAAAGCAAGCCGCTAAGCGGCGCGTGCTTCCCCAAGGTTTTTGTGTAAATCTTTATACCTATCTTTCTAGACTCAGTTATTCTCCGAAAATTTTAATTTTATAATAATAGAAATTATTATAAAATTAAATGGATATTATTTCAACCCCAATATTTAGTATTTGAATACTTATGTTATCTACGAAAATATTTAAAAAGGTTATTTCATGCATAAAATATCGTGATTAACTCCAAATTTGCAACTATTTGTAGGAGAAATTTAGTATGTATTTTTCATATGAAATATTATTCGATAAAGAATATGTAGTAGGTTGTAATCATTTTTTTTAAATAAATTCATATTGTCGTTTATTGCTAGAATATAATAAACAAAACAAAATTAATAGGTAATATACGCGGCATTTTGCGCGCTCTTTGAACTCAAAAGCGAAAGCCGACGAAGGACTTAGATAGGGAAAAACCAAAAAAACTCCACTCTTAGAGTGATTAAAAGTAGCATCCACTTTATGCCGATTAACTAATTTTGATCCAATATCTATTATTTATTCTGTGCTAATATTTAGTAGTAATATTTAAAAACATGGGAAGTTTTATGAACATAAAATTTTGTCACTATTCCAGGTAACAGGTAGTGGCGTTGGGAGTAGTGGTGCTGGGAGTAGTGGTGCTGGGACTAGTGGTGTTGGGAGTAGTGGTGCTGGGAGTAGTCGTGACGGAGTTAGTGCATGTAATTGAGGGAGGGTGGGAGATGCTCTTCAATCCAGGTAAGACACATCATTGTATTTATTTAGCGGAAGGTTGCAAAGAAATTTATATTTTTATTTTTTTATTATAATGGATTTCCGCAAAGTAACGACTGATTATATCAATTATATTGAACTATATCTTCGTGGTCGTCATATCTATTATTTATTCTATGCTAATAATATTTGGTAGTAATATTTAAAACATGGGAAATTTTATAATCATAAAATTTTGTCACAATTCAGTGTCGATAAAAAAATGCTAATTATTGAAAAAGACAGCAGCATAATAGTTTAAGTATTTGTTATTGTGTGGATTTATAGCACAATTTTTTAAATGTTTCTTGTTATAAAAGTGTTTTAATGTATTTTACTAATCCTAGCTATAATTTAATTTCTTAATAACACTTACGGACGCTGTCTAAAGTAAATAAATAAATAATAACTATTATTAAAAAATAACATAAAAAAATCACGAATTTTTTATCGATTTAGAAAATATCAAAATTATGTTATAGAGTACAATAGCTTTGCCACGTCTATGCAAACAAACTAGCATCAAGCACCAATAGCGCGTTAGCACTGATATTGACGGTTGTGTTTTATATTGCGAAATTAATATTCCGCCGTGAGTGACTTGTGTGCGATGTCTTACTCAAACGAGGCATATTTTAATATGTTGATGTGTCTCGGGAAATGTAACAGCAATTATGCAGCGGCACGAAATATATATATATATATATATATATATATATATATATATATATATATCGTCATGATCGTAGAATAATGACGGTTCTAAAAAAAACACGAAATTTACTTTTTACCATATTTGGATACTATATTGCCTAAATATTATTACTACATTAAAGAAAAAATTATATGTATTTCGGATTTCAAAATAATCAGTCGGTAAATAGACGGATTTGATAGGCACTCATAGTAAAATGACGTTTGTATATACTCGTCATTATTCGACGCGCGGGGATCTCCCGCCATCCTCTCCCACTCCCGACGAATCCGCGCAATCGTCACTTTTCGTCGAACTCGCTGACGCGTTGCAGCGGATTAGATTTTTCTTAAACAATTGCACTAGTTTTACTTTATTTGCCTGTTTGTTAGCTATTGCGTGCCTAGTTTTTTTTTTACATATTATATTAAAAGGTGTGCCACAATGAAAACAGGACGATCAAAGCTTATGTTAAAACTTGTGGAAGAAACAAGCAAAAATTCGAAAAGTACGGGTTTTACTCATGATGAGCGCATGGATGAGGAGGACTGCATACCAGGGACTCCAGGTAAGTTAATGAATTATGTATTAATATTATAGTATTACTTAATTCTTGTATTTACACATATTTTGCAAAGTAAATAAGTAAAGCGTCGGTTCTGAGTATCCGTCGGTTTTCTACGGAAAATATAAATCAATATAAAATGTAATTTTTATAAAAATAAGATTTGCTCGCTGATATTACTCCAATTATTATGTTGAGTTTTTGTTATATTTGAGAATTTAAATTTTCAAGTTGTATGTAACTACTCGTATATTACATTTTTCTATGGACATGATAGTGACGCGTGGTTACAAACGCCGGTATTTTGTGGACACGCTTTTTTGTCTAACGGTCGTATCTGATCATCCCACTTTTTTCTTTGAACTAAATTCACTTCCGCCATTTTTCTATTGAAAAACTATGATTATTTGTATATATTTAATATATTTTTCTTTAAAAAATAATCGGATTTGAGTAAAAATTTACCTGTATAAATAAAAAGAAGTACTTTTTTTATACTTTCTAATCTTTTTTATTATGAATAGTCTTACCGTTTTTAGTAAATGTTAACCTGTGATATTAATAATCTATTTATTTTTACATATACTGATATCTTTTCAGAATGCCATTCGCCATTACCTTCAGGAGCACGCAACGTAATAGAAGAGATGAACGACATTTGTGAAGATGTCTTTTCAGATGACGTACACGGAACAAGCGAAATCATAAAATCAACAAATGAAAATATGGACCCGAACATACCATCATCTACTTGTGTTCTTGAAGAAGATCCTTTTATGGCCGTGTATGAAAATGCATCCTCACCATATTTACTCGCGTCAGAAAATCAGCATGGTGTCGTGTCCCTCTTAAATATCACCTCAGCTCTAACCCCTTTAAATACTTCTACCCTGATATCAGACCTGTCACCTTTCCCGCAACCGATTACCCCGACTGTTGACAACAATGGACAAACACCTATGCCATCACCAGTAAAAACTCATGGTGAGGTATGTAATGACTTTTTTGTTACACTCACGATGGTGCAGACATAGCAACTGTCAATCAAACAAGCACAGCTGTGTCTTCATACCAGTTGTCTCCAGCGCCTCTTATTCGATGTAAAGGTAAAAAAACGTGTCCGAAATTATGACGATTGGGAAGAAATTAAAAGAAAACGCTTAGCAAATGCAGGAAAAGAATACATCTCCAAAAAGGGCGTTATTGTTCAAGCAAAAAACTATAGGTAGACCTTGCACGTGTAGATATAAATGTTACACTATGTTGGCTCTCGAAGAAATACAGGATGCATTTGAAAAGTTTTGGAAGTTTGGTGATCGTGAGAAACAATGGTTGCATGTTGCGAATTATACTACAAAACAGAAGAAGAAAAGGGGCCTTCAAAGAGATTTAAAGCATAACTGTCAATTTACTTACAATTATTTTTTGCCAAAGGGCTCATCAAAAATAGAGGTTTGTAAAACCATGTTTTTAAGTACGTATTCGATTAGCGAAAGGTTATTTCGGACAGCTTGGAATAAATATGACGGAAGCACTTTAATAGAAAAAGACATGAGGGGGAAACATAAAAATCATAATCGGGTTGTTGACGATGAAATGGTAAAGTCGGTTTGTGCCCACGTTAATTCATTTGTACCTGTAGAATCTCATTATAACAGAGCAGCGTCCAAACGACTGTATTTAGATGGTGACTTGAGCATCATCCTAGTTCAATTTATACAAAGATTGGCCTGAACTTAACTGTTATTCAAATACAGCTTCCAGTCTTAGACAGTACAGAGACATAGTTAACAGTCATTTTAATTTGAGTTTTCATCCACCCAAAAAGGATACTCGTGATCAGTGCCATAGTTTTAAACTAACACAAAATCCGCCTGATGAACTTAAAGAACAGTATGCAAAGCATTTAAATAGCAAAAAAGTGTCTAGGATCTTGAAACAGAATGATAAAAATGACGCTGTTAATTCTAATGGACGCATAGTTTGTGCTACCTTTGATGTTCAGAAGGTTTTGTCATGTCCTCACGGGCAAATGAGTGTATTGTATTACAAGCGAAAGCTGTCATGTTATAATTTCACCATATACGATATGATCGGCAAACAAGGTTATTGCTATATGTGGGATGAAAGTGTTGCCAAACGTGGGGCCAACAAAGTAGCCAGTTGCGTTTATGACTTCATAAAGAAGTTTGTATCAAAGGGCGTGAAAGAGTTTCGATTCTGGTCAGACAATTGCGCTGGCCAGAATCGAAATCGCATAGTGTTTATTATGTATCATGAATATGATATAACTATAACACATAGATTCTTTGAAAAGGCCACATCCAAAACGAGGGGGATTCTGTCCACAGTGTCATAGAAAGGGCTGCTGAGCATAAAACAATTTATACACCAGATGAATGGAAATTACATGTACGTTGGGCTAAAGTAACAGGTGATTCTTATGAAGTCATAGACGTAAATCAGTCTTTAGTGTTTGACTTTAAAGATCAGCTAAAAAATAAAAACTGGGTGAAAATACAGTTAACAACAAAGTTACTTGGACAAGCATAAAAGAAGTTTGTGTCGATGGAACTCAGAGCAGTAAAATCCGGTACAAATATGCTTTATCTGATGACTACATGACCCTGGTACTTCGAAAGGAGACTAGACAATACAATAATCCAATCTTACATAAAGCTTACGTGAGGCCAATTCCAATCAGTAATGATAAATATAAGGATCTTATTAGCCTTTACGATTCTTCAATAATACCTACCAAATATCATAACTATTTCAGAAGTTTACCTCATGGGCGTAATGTTTCTGATAATAACAATGAATCTGATTGAATAATTGTGCTAAGGAATTGTGTTTGATAATCCTAGTTACTTAATTTTTACTGTTTTGATCTCTGAAGTTGTGATTTTTAAGGATTTATTCATTTAATTAACGTTTTTACTACCCTATCTACTTATAAAAATGATTGTGATCATATAACTTGGCTAACAAATGGTTAGTGTTTAAGTTTTAGATTAGTAATTTATCAAAAAGGAAGAAATCAGGTCCAAATAGCTTCAACATTATAGTCTTCTTAATCTATGTAGTACAAAATAATGTTGTTTATAATTTCCTAATACAAATTCAGTATAAAGGCTAGATCAAATAGTCTGTTTTATTTATAAGATACCCTACCTACCCCAACCTACTTACCTACTGTACTATTTACTTATCGAACGCCTGCCTACCTTCTTACTCATGGTCAAACTAGAATATAACAGATAACACATCCGCCAAAATATTATTCGCTAGTCAGTAGAACATGACTGGAAAGTAACATCCGTCATTCTTTGAACAGTAACTTACCGAAGAAAAATGTCGGATAATACTATGTGACTGTCTTGACTCCAAAGTAAAATGAAGCACGTGATTTTTCAGGAAAACTGTATAACTAAAAGTCATTGTTTTTATTCCAGTTTAAAATAAACCCCATTTTAAACTGGTATGCCAATTTTCATAATTACAGATTTAGAATTAAAAAAGTTATGTCAAAAATCTAACATAATTATTTGAAATGGCTGCCCTGTAAAGTTTAATAATTGTGAGATCCGTCACTATTCTACGACTATGACGATATATATAGCCTTTATACAAACAGGAAATAGAGCCCCTAGTATAAAAACGAGCTTCAATACATCTCGTATACAGCTTGCAATACTGCTTGGTCACCTCTCATTTCCGAAAGGGTTTTACGTCACAGGAATATTGTGGTGGAAAATAATTTTTAATATGTACATATAATTAATAATGGAATTGAATATTTTGATTTCATAAAAATTATATTACAAATTTTAAATTATATTACATACAAATTATTAATAGTTATTAAGTTGTAATTAATTATTAACATCCCATTTTATATAGTTATTCCTGGTTCGGAGTGCGTTTACCACTTTAATGTAACCGATTTCCCAATGGCCTCATATCAATTATATAAATCCAATTTTAGATGATTTGAAAGATTTTTTTATGCCTCCTTTTTAAGTCGTAATTTTTTACACTTTGTTACAAGCATATTGCCCTAATGTAATGTCTAAATATTGCCTAGATAAAATGCGACGCTGAGTAAGTCACAATAAAACTTAACATAACATACAAAACAATATAAATGATAACATAATATATAAAACACCATTTTTATAATCAAAATCTAAAATCTAGATGTCTATATATTAAAGTATAAAATATTTAACTCCTACTGCACACTTGTCTGTAAGTCATTAATCTTCTCACGGGCACTAGGACTTCTAACACATTCTGACAGAGATATTAAAACATTAATCTAACGCACCTTATGTTAAGAACAAGTTGGAAGTTTAGATCTAATTTTAGATAAAGGAGTCTAAGTTTCAAGTCAGTGAATGCGATAGGATGTTATATTAGACCTCGTGTGCTTTAACTTATTACTAACTATATACCAACTCAAGTGTTATCGCTATTTATGATTGCGAGTAAATATACTCATTTAATTGACTTTAAAATAAGCGTGCTATGTGGATATTGGTAAAATATTCACATACTCGTATATTTTACGTTGCAAACGCTGCATCTGTACTTGCTATACATAGCTAAAGCACGAAGGTGTCGGCTTAACGCTCCCACAAAATACCAGCATGAATTACGAAATACAGCAACAATATTATGAATATTGTTGCTGTATTTCGTATGGTAAATTTAGAGAACCGGGGACTCTTTATACTGATGAACAAGGCAATTGCATCTTAGTCCTTAGGGGTGACGACGCATAAGCATTTTGATTCCTAACCGATGACAAATGAAGAAGTTTATTTCTTTTAGCAACTTACCATCAGTTGGATTATGTCCTCGTTTGTCTTGATATGAGTTTGATTATAAGTTCGCCTTACATTACGCTTTTAGTGCCAGCGTTTAATTAAATAACCTTTTTAAATATTTTTGGTAATTTTATTGTTTTAGAAGTAACTTATACGCATCATAATTCAAGAGGACTATTCATCAAAAGCACGCTACAGAATTTAAACTACAAATTTATAGCGCGCTATTAAATACGCTATGTTATAGCGCGTTTTTTATAAAAAAGCGTGTAGGAGGCCGGCAAGCCCGTTAAGTTTTGCAGCACGCTATATCTCGTAGCACGTTATATTAATGTCGTTCATTGGATAGACGGCGTGCTATATAAGAACATTATTTCGTAATAAGTCGCATTTCAGACTAAAATAAAGTAAAGCGTTAAAGAAAAACCAATAAACGCTTTTTCATACTTTCCACGCTTACGATTTTCTATAATCCTAAAAATATTTTTAAGGCATGTACTTTTTAAAACGAAATAAATTTAATTATTTCTTATTATAGTTGATTTAAACGTTATTTTATACCTTAATATAAATTATAAATCAAATAAAGGTGTATTTAAAAGTTTATTGATTGTATTTATAAAAATCCATCATTTGCGTACACTATTATATACAATTTGGTATCTATATTTTATTTACATTTAAAAACATAATTTAGGCTTCTTTTATAGCAGACAACTGTGTCCTTCGATCACTCATAAATATACAGTATACACTAACTAAACAACGTCTAACACTAAATTAGGTCGCGTGCGATGAATAGCTTGCTATTAGATCAAATTTGCGTCACATGTCCTCTCCCAACAGCGCTGCTGGTAAAACTAATTGCCGCTTGACATTAATACTTAATAGCGCCAAAGCACCATAGCGCAATAGCACTATGGCGCGACTACTTACATAGCACTCGCTATGTGTTATGGAGAGATAGCGCGCTATAATATGGCGCTATGCGCTATATTAACCACTATTAGTTAACACCAATCTGATATTCACTTTTAGTACATTGCATTGTATGTTTCATGAGACGTGGTCGCTCTTACTTACTACAAAAGTCCAGCAGTACTATTCTATAAATAACCATTTCGATATCGAGCTTCACCTGAGTGACAAAGCTCACT